TGAAGGAGTTTTTTAGGGTGATTGAGAATGCAATTGTGGCCCAGTAATAAAAATCCTCAAAAATACAACATGCCTAATAATTCTGCACACAGTGTACTGTACATACAATTCTGTTTGACAGTAGTTATCAAGTAATGTGTGATTAATGAATGTGTCCGTGTAAGAAACATGTGCAACAGCCCAGGAGCACTTTCTTTGTTGTATAAAATCATTAATGATCGTATTATTTGGGGTTTTGCTTGTGCCTCCATTAAAGACAGAAAAACATCTAAGAATATAAATGAGCATAACAGTTAGTCTCAGCAAAAATATCAGCCGATACTGATGTCCAAGGCTGTTTAAAGAGTGAAATCACATCTTATGTTGAGTTACTCTGATTATGTCCAAGAGAGAGACAGATTTACACACCAAAACACGAAGCTAAGTGTATTATCAATGTATAGTGAACATTAAATTGTTGGTAGAAGTATCCCGGCTAATGCATCCCTAATTCACTGCAAAAATGTAACTTTTTGAGGTGAATTATTTAAATAATTAGATTTTTGATTACCGTATATTAGAATATATCAATATGCATCTGCATGAAACTTTATCCATGATATGCTTTCACATGGTAATGGTTTTATTGTTTTATAAGGATATCATTACTAAAAATGTTAGTATCTTGGACAAAAAAATCTAACAACAAATATTAAGGTTTATAATTTAGTCTCCTGCAGTTCCAGTTTGTAAAGTGTTTAGGTACAGTAGCTTCCTGAATAGTAAAAACTCACCTGGACTAAAAAGTATTTGGTTTACAATAAGATAAACCAAGTAGATTTTTAAATACAACAAATCAATTTATTAACGGAAGTACACATAACTTGGATGAATCTTGTACCTTATTAAAAACACTTTGCAAAACAATTTCCCATCTTTTCTAAAACTGAATTCATGTCAGGGAATTTTTTGACCGAAATTGAACATTGTGGAATCTAAATTCAGCTACACTATGAGGATGTTGTCTTTAGTGGTAGAAAAAACAAGTTCCATCCCTTTATTTGGAATTTCTTTATATTGTTAGAAAAATTATAGATTTAAAATTGTTAATTGTCCAGTATGAAACCTTATACATTTTGATTTATTGCTGAACATAAAGACCTGCTTTGGGTCCCTGGAGGTGCAACAACTTTGACAGCAAAGAAGAACCATTATACATTTTTTATCCAACATAATTTTATAGGCTTGACATATTTTACATATAGCCAGTGGGGAGTGGTGGCCCTGCTCTCTGGGAGCCGCACAATGGCAGCCCACTGCTCCCCAAGTGGATGGGGTAAATGCAGAGATGAATTTCTCCAGTTTCTCTCTTTCTGTTAACTGACTGGCAAGATTGCCAATAATAAGATGCCGAAATTTTGGCCGACTTCTTTCTTAATTTTGTGTGTGTGTGTGTGTGTGTGTGTGTGTGTGTGTGTGTGTGTGTGCATAAATTTAGATTATTCTTTGAAAAAGCTCAATAAAAAATTTCCACATTATTTGAAATCCCAGGATTTGGAGCTTTAACATTGAACGCCTCACAATCAGGGGCCGATCCCATTTAAGTTTGACCAATAGGAAGAGGGATGTAGGATCCTAACTGATACGTCAAGCTTGACAAAACACGCAGAGTGATGTTGATTAGCTATATTTTCAAAATAAATGTATATTCTAGCCTTTTCTTCCCAAGGAAGGCATTGTACCTCAGTGTTTAATCAACCTCTTGTTTTAATGTTCTGTAGTTTAATATAAACAAAGAAGCTATGGTGCTGTTTCCCACTGATATCTGAACAGAAGATAAAGAGCGAGAGTTCATCAAGAAAGCTTAAAGTTAGTAAGGAAAAGTTAATAAGGTATAATAGAAACCTAGAATTGTCGCTAATTTATGTAATATTTATCAAAACAAAATATAATTGTCGTTATCAGTGAACTTCTTGCCAGCGTAGGCATGTATTCCTGCACGTTGCCTCATAACTAAAAGGTTTTTAGAAAGTCCGATTTCTGTAAAAGTCACCAACACGCCATGACTTCCTTGAAAACGATATTTTTGAGTCTTAGTGAGATTTTTTCCTGCTTGAATAAATGTTTTATTGAAAAACAAATGCATCACTGTTACAACTAAGAACATTCTTATTCACGTATCACGATGGAAAATGTATTTTATTTTGAAATTCTTAGCCGGAAGTAGTCTGGTGTAAACATTGTTAGCGCTCATCGGGAAGAAAATCAGCCGTTGGAGTGTTTTCTCTTCACTGTGAGCTCCCTCCGTTGTAGAATTAGTTAGCAGCCATATGTAATTTGGACCACTTCATTCATTCATTCATTCATTTTTTTCCCACATAGGGCACGTTTTTTACTTAGCTTTGGTGCGTTAGCTTAGTTAGCAGCGTTTGCTACTGAGCTCCGTGACTCCCTCAGACGGTCCTCGGTGTATGCCTCGGTGAGTGTTCCTAGCAGGCTGGGTGGTGACAGCACAATGATCGAGCGGCCAGACACTGCAGTTCCGAGCATCGCTGTAAGTCTTTTTCTTCTACTTCCAACAGGCTGTTTTATTAGTATTTGAATTAAAATGTTCTTCTTTACGCCCCTCATTGATCTTCGTTTCTTTGTTTGTTTGCCAACACAATCCGACTTTGATGAAGCCATTTGAAATATCACTTCGTTATTTTAGCCTCACTATATGTCATAATACAAATAGAAATATGACCAATTTTTTTTAAGTTGAAATCCTTGAAAGTCGTCGTTGTGTTAAATTCGCTGTGAAATGAGGCTCTTTTGTATCGGGAGGGACGTGGTCTGGTTTTAATTAAAGCTGGCTGCAGTGGGAAAAGATGTATTTCTGCTCAGAGAGTGAAAGTATGCAACTGATGCCTCAGTTCTTGGGAGTAAAGCTTTTCTTTTCATATAGTCTAGCTGATTTTAAATAAGAGATAATAGAGATAACTACGGAAGGGGATTAGGGTCACTGAAAAAATTTAAAAAGTTAACTTATTTAAAAAATGTATTTCAGTATATTATGAGAAAGAAGTCAGAATTCTGCCTTTAGTCTCAGAATTTTTCCTGTGATTTCAGAATTCTTACTTTAATTTCAGAATTCTGGCTAACTTCTGACAGCTAACAAACATGTTAGCATCAAGCCATAGCCATGTCTGTTTTAGAGACTAACCTTGTACCTTTTTAATTACCTTCTGGCACGTACAAAGTCACCTAATTGCGTCATTTTCCACCAATGTGTCACTGGCCCTCCCAAACAACTCACATCTTTGACAGTGAAGCTGAGTGCTCCCACATATCTTCCTTCCTGGTGCCCATCTACATTAAGAGATCCAAAATTCCTAAAAAGAGATTAAAGCCAGAATTCTGACATAAAAGTCAGAATTATGTCAGAATTCTGAGGTCAAAGCCAGAATTCTGAGGTCAAAGCTAGAATTCTGAGGTCAGAGCCAGAATTCTGAGGTTAAAGCCAGAATTCTGAGATAATTCTGACATAAAAGCCAAAATTCTGAGGTCAAAGACAGAATTCTGAGATAAAAGTCAGAATTCTGAGGTTAAAGCCAGTATTCTGAGGTTAAAGCCAGTATTCTGAGATAATTCTGACATAAAAGCCAGAATTCAGAGGTCAAAGCCAGAATTCTGAGATAAAAGTCAGAATTCTGAGGTTAAAGCCAGTATTCTGAGATAATTCTGACATAAAAGCCAGAATTCTGAGATAAAAGTCAGAATACTGAGGTTAAAGCCAGTATTCTGAGGTTAAAGCCAGTATTCTGAGGTTAAAGCCAGTATTCTGAGATAATTCTGACATAAAAGCCAGAATTCTGAGGTCAAAGCC